GACAAAGATTGAAAAGCATGTTTACGAAAATGGACGTAGCTCAAAATGGGTGTTTTCGAAAATGGGCACAGCTCAAAAGGCGTGTTTTCGACGATGGACGTAGCTCAAAATGCGTTTTCAAGAAAAGGGAAATAGCTCACAAAGCGTGTTTTTGAAAATGGACGCAGCTCAAAATGCGTTTTTTTAAAAGGGAAACAGCTCGAAAGGCGTGTTTTCGACAATGGGCGCAGCTCAAAATGCGTGTTTTTGAAAATGGACGAAGCTCAAAATGTATTTTTAAAAAAATGAAAACAGCTTGTAATGTTCAACCTAAATTTAACAACTAAGCGAGGAATTTCGAACTTCTTTACTTTTTTAAATACTAAGCCAAATTTCTACGAGGCAAAGTCCCAGATTTGGAGTCTGGGTAGCTGGATGTATTACAGATATTACTTTATACAGGCATTTCTTCGTACTCAAAACTGTAAACGACAGTGATTTTAAAAGATTCCAAATTTGTGCGAAGTCAATTTAATATAGCTGTTATAAGTTTATTAGTCCCGTGACGACCTTGTAAAAAGGACTATTGACTTCAAATATCTTTTAAGAAGAAAACCGATTTCAAAAAATGTGGTAAGTTATTAAGACGAATAAGACATCACGATATTAATTTATTTGGATACATTAGTTTTTTTTTATTTTTTAGAGAAAAAAAAATAGGGAAATTTTAAAAAGCGCAATCAAATGCTATGTCCATGTCCTTAAATAGCCATGTCCATTTTTTAACAATATACAATACAGTGATAAGTACACTATACAACAATATACAATACACTATATATACAGATATCCTTATCTAGAGGAAATTGAGAGGATGACTGGAAGCCAAATATCTCCCGTCATCAGGATAAAATTGAGAGGAGATAGGTGATAATGAGAAAAAAATTCAAATTTTGGACAATTTTAGATGGTCAGATTCTAACTGGATTCGTCAGATTCTAACTTCATTGATTTTCCTTCGTTTATATAGTAGCTTAACGCTTATATATCATTGATGACGATATGTATTATATATCGTCCTCAAAATAACCGAATGGAAAGCTATAGCTAAATATAGGATAGCTCTGAATAGAATTTTAAGGAAGGTCAAGACCCACACAGGGTTGTCGCACCGCCGAGAAAGGAAGGAAGGATATAATTATTTGCAGTTCCTAATGTAATTTTAACTTTATTTTTGAAAAGGGTTTCATAAAATATATATTAAAATTTGTTAATTACAAAACACTCTTTATAAAAATAATCTTGAGAATGGTTAAATTGTTATTAAAGTATTTCAAACTAAAAATATTTTTCTGGTTTTTCTAATCAAATTTGTAATAAGACATTAAATATATCGTTATTGCTTTCCCTCTCAAAGTAATTGATTTAAAGTAAAAGGTTCAATTTTCTTTTGCCTCATCTTTTTTCCTTTTAAAGAAACTTTTAGCAAGGATTTATTCGGAAAAGGTGTCTTCTTTCTTTTTCTTTGCTTTCTTTTTAGTGTTAGGAAGAAAGGATGAATGCTTTTCGGTAACTTCTATTGGGTAATCTATTTCCTTTTCGCTAAGAATTGATTTACTGGGTGGTTCATTTAACCAAGATGCTCAAAGGTTTTATGTCGAAAAAAAGACATAATGGCGATAATATCTAAAATAAACATGTTATGTTTAATTATACGAGAGTAGTATACACTTTTTTAACTAAAACTATTTTGTTAATGAATGCATAGCTGTTATTTATTACGCTTTTTATGGACGTGTTTTTTCAACGGAAGCAATATTTATGCATTAATATTTAATTTTTAGATTTTAACTTCTATTAGGTAATCTATTTCCTTTTCGATAAGAATTAATTTACTGTAAGTTTCATTTGACATAAAGGTTTTGTCTAAAAAAAGCTTAATGGCGATAATATCCGAAATAAAACACGTTATGTATAATTCTCCGGTAATATGAGTAAGTAATATATCCTTTTTTTAACTAAAAGTATTCTGCTAATTAGTGCATAGCTATTTATTTTTTTGGAAGCTACTTAATGCATAGCAATTTATTTTTGCTAATTAATGCATAGCTATTTATTTTTTTAATGGTATCAAATTTAATGCATTAGTTTCAGATTTTATAAATTTTAAAAAAGTAATTTTGATTACCACAGAGATTATAAATATTTAGATTTGCAGATTTATAAAAGATTTGAAAACAATGCCGAGGTGTATTAAAAAGTAATGTTTTGTTTTAAGATCCGCTTCTTTTAATTGAGTATCCGAATAATTTCACTGCTTTGTGAAAATCATTAGTAAAAAGTTGGCAAATTTGTTAATATTTTCAAGCAAATCCTTAAATTTGAATGAAAATTTACCCAAAATAATTTAAAATTCTCATGGTTCGTTGAGGTAATAGCACAAAAAAGCCTCCTGAAACCAAGGTAACTCAATCTTTATTTCATTTGATCGATTTACTTCGATTGATTTTGATTTGATTTACTTCGTTCGAAGAATCGCTCGATCAGTTCAAATAGAAAGCTTAACTCTTTGCTTGATATGGAACACCGGCGTCCCTTTTATGTGTTTTTTTTCTGAGGCTGTAATTTCAAGCAAAAATATATATCAGTATTTTTTTTTTTATATAAAACAATCTAATAGTTTCTAAAAAAAGTTAGATTTTGGGATTTATATTTGTACTAAGATATAAAAATCAAAAAAGTAGTTTGAAAAATATTTATTTTTCATTCATACTAAAAAATTTATCAGTAATTGATTTTACGAATTAAAGAAATTTCAATATGAATAATTTTGAAAAGTTGCTGTTTGGAAGTTAACCGTACTTGGAATAATTTACCTTTAACGTAGAAAAGAAAAGAAAAAAAAAACGCCGGTGTTCCTTGCCGTATTTCATAATCAAAAAGTATTAAAATGGTAATTATAATAATTTTCACTTATTTTGATTTAAATTAATACAAAATAATGAAAAAAGTATAAACAAATATGGTTAATAAAAATTCTGAGTCAAAGGGTTAACGTTATTTACTCTTCGCACTGATTGTTAATTTGAGTGCGCAAAAACAGTGCGCAAAAAATAAATGGATGACCCTGATTAACCATTTGACCGAATATGCTCAAATTTTATATTTTACCATTTAAAATTACATTCTTTAAAATGATGCAAAAATTTGCACTCTTTACAGTTCAAAATTTTTTCGACTATTAAATAAAATAATAAAAAATAATAGATGTTTACTAAAAGCTATATTTTGTGTGGAGTTATCGTTGCGAAGACACATTTAATTATTTTCAAAATTAATTTAATAAAATAATTTAGTATTTTTTCAAAAACGAATTTAATAAACAAATTTAATTATGTACAAAAATATTTCAATTCGCTTAAAAAGTTCTCGAGATATGGCAAAATACGCAAAAAGTAAAATTAACATTAAGAGGTCCAAACATTGGAGCGCTCTTCTGACCAAACTATTTGAGACAATATTTCCAAGATTGCAGCTACCCCCTATATTTTTGGGGTCAGAAATCCAAATCCGTCGAAGAAAATGTATGTTTCATTAGGAGAAAGTACGTTTTTGTGTCTGATTTCGTAACTTTAAATATCGTCTGTACTAATTAATTAGCATATTTGAGGTCACCCCCTCGAACCTTTAAGATTGATTCCTATATTGTGATGATACGATCATTACATCAAAAGTTATTTAAGGTGGTTCGTTTTTTATTTTGCGCTCTGTGCGTTACATGAAAAACGGCATTTTTATTCCTAGATTAGAATTTGACCTTATAAGCAAACTCTAAATTTTTATTTAAATACCTATTATTTCAGTCTTCAAAGCGTTTCAAACACAAAACTTTGTAAAATAAAATATTTAAATAACTAAAAGAATAATTAAACTAAATTGCTTTATATATTCTGATACATTAAAAATGAGAAGAATTAGCAAATTAATAAATTTACTTTTTTAAAAGCATTTTCAATCATATATTAGAAAGGTTAGGTTAAAATTTAATTTAAGTAGTTTTTACGAAAATAAACATCAGTATTGTTATAGAATTTAAAAATCTATTGTACTTATTTTTTTTTTTTAACCTCTGGCAATATTGTCTGGTAAACTTAATCATTTAAATCGGCAATCACTTGGATCGATTGCAGATATCCAATTTTTTCCATAGCAACGAAGTTTTTTTCTTATCGCAGAGCAAATAAGTAAACATTTGCTGCAAACTTACTTAAATTGTAAGAATAAAAATCTAATAGCCCCAAAGCAGTTATTTTTAGACAATTATTACATTTATGTTTGGATTTATTGGCTTCTGTTAAGGTCAAAGTTATTTAATAAAAGTCATGTTACTTCTCAGAAAAGTAGATTAATAAGTTATATACACTTTATGTAGGCGTCTGAACATCAACTATATCACTTATATCAACTACTTTAGAATCGGATCTAAAAATCAAACGTTATTGTCAACTTTTTATAGTTATTTAATTCACTGTTTTTTGTCTCGTAAATGTGTACATAAATCTATGTGTACATAAGTCAAGCAAATCTATAAATATATTTTTTACAGTTCTCTGATTATATGGCTACAACATTACGAAATCCAATCTAAAAACTAAATTTCAATGTTTCAACTATTCAGTTTATCTATTCGAAAAACATATGCACAAATATTCCAATTTTGATTTATAATGTAAACAAATTGAAAAATTTATGTTATGTTTGTGTTCTGTTATTCTGTTATTCTGTATTCTGTTATTCTGTATTCTGTATTCTGTTATTCTGTTATTCTGTTATTCTGTTATTCTGTATTCTGTTATTCTGTTATTCTGTGTTCTGTTATTCTGTGTTCTGTTATTCTGTGTTCTGTTATTTTGTGTTCTGTTATTCTGTATCCTGTTATTCTGTATCCTGTTATTCTGTATCCTGTTATTCTGTATCCTGTTATTCTGTTATTCAAACAGGTGTTGTTCTGTATTTTTCAGGTTTGCTTACGTTCGTAAATTGCTGGGATGTAAAATGGGCAACAAGAGTTCAAGATTTGTTTACATATGGGAAGTTGATAGCCCTTATTGTTATCATCACTACAGGCTTCATAGAATTATTTAAGGGTGAGATTTATATCCATTTTTACAATGTTACAATATTTTAAGCGAAATGCATTTAATGTTACAAAAGGCTTAAGGTAATATAACGAAGAGCCACAGTTTCAAATTGTTCAGGCGAATGTGTTTAAAATCGTGTCTGGTGAAAAGCACTCTACTGGTGAAGAGTTGGAGGTAGCGAGTTCGATCTTGGTTGCTGATCAAACTTTTAACGGAGCAAAGGTGCAAGTTAAGTCAGTCTTGCTTGAAAATACTCTTATCGGTGGTGGTGCTGCAGATAGGAGAAAAAGGTGACAGCTCAGACGCTGTCTTTGTCATTTAACCTGAGTCAAAATTACGTGGCATTCCTACCATGGATATTAAAAGACTGTAATTAAAACGGGGTTCGATAATGTGGTGAAAAGCAATAGGACTTCCGTACAGACAAAAAAATATTTTTGTGTATTGTGCTGTTAATTAGAGATAAACATGGGAACTTATAAATTACCTATCTGGAAACAATACAAATGAATAGCTTGAAGTATAAATTTCGCCTTTAAAAAAGTGAGGATTAGCACATTCTGCTCCTAGCCCTTCAAATAGAATTAAATTCTATTCTGTACATATATAAAAAAAGTATGCTAAATTTTAAAGTAGTTAGGCATGAAAAATAAATATTTGTACTAGAACAATCGACGAAATTTGAGAAGTATAAATATTTGTGCACTAAAGTTGCAAATAAGAAATTTTTAGTGAAATTTGAACTAATTTTAAGAGCTTAAAAACATTCCTTTTTTGATATTCAGCAAAAAACTCAATTAGAAATACAGTAGTTGTCATTCCACACTGAAAGAAACACACGTTATTATAGCAGATTGGTTTACAACATTTTTTGAAATATAGATTAGGCTATCATTAATGTAAACAATATTATAAATTGAACTGGACTTAAATTACATGTTTAAATTTATTACTGATTGGCTTTAAATAAAAAAATGGAGTATGAAACAATTATCAAAAAGTATTTTGAAAAAATCAAACACTAGATGTTAAAATAGTTTTTAAGTGAAACATTTTGATATTAAATACTTTTCATTGGAACAAGTATAAAGTTGTTAATAGCAAAAAATTCCTTAGATCTGTTTCAGGAAATAAAACTTCTTATAATCAACTTTTAATTAAAATTTTTATATCACTATTACTCTAACAGATTCTTTGTTTCAATGGTTAAAGGAAATTAATTGCTGTTAAGAAAAGAATTTGATATGTATGTCTTAGATTTCTTATCCCATGAAAATACTGTCTTCTTAAATTGATAAGAAATAAAGAATCATGTACAAGTGTTTTATCAGTAATCGATTGATCTAAATATAAAGATAATTAACGTTAATAATTGATAAAAGAACTTCACGGAGCTATTTTGTGCTACTTAGATGTTACTTATTGATAAATTTAATTTAACGCATTTACTTAAACATGACTTCAAGGACAATGTAAGCACAACATGTATAGTTGGTATAGTTTCCTGAGACCTAGCGTCTTAATATATTGAATAACATTTGGTATTTTAATATTTCTTTTTGTTAATTTGGCTTTACAAAACTATTTTCTGCTAAAAATATAATCTGATTTATCTTCGTTACATACATCGTTTTGTTAGATTAAAATAATAAGAAAAGGTAAGCACTTCACTGTTAGAATTTTCATTCTGAAATTATGGTAAAATAACAGGCAACAGTCTATCTATCCGATTAACCGCAAAGTTTACAGTAAATTTTTTTTCACCTTTACGGTTTTGAAACCGTTTGCAACTAGTATGGTTATAAGACCATGAATATAAAACTGTTTTCTTTAACCATTTACAACTAGCAGGGTTTCAAAACCATAGAAAAGAAATTTAACTGGACATAAAAGCTAGGTTCTTCCAATTCACTGTTAGAAATTTCATTCTGAAATTATGGTAAAATAACAGGCAACAGTCGATCTATCCGACTAACCGCAAAGTTTACAGTAAATTATTTTTTTACCTTTACGGTTTTGAAACAGTTTACAACTAGTATGGTTGTAAGACCATGAATTTAAAACTGTTTTCTTTAACCATTTATAACTAGCAGGGTTTCAAAACCATAGAAAAGAAATTTAACTGGACATAAAAGCTAGGTTCTTCGTTAGGTAATGGGCATTGTAAAGAAGGACACTAAAAATTCTTCATGTGTTGAAGGGAATGGAAGAAATATTGTAAGGTCAAAGCTGAGACTCTAACCCCAGTTTTGTCGAGATTGAAATTTTGTCGAGATGACTTTTATTAACTATATTTAGAAACAATTTATCCTTATTTACATATGAACAATTTATCCTTTATTAGCAATGTATAGAAACAAGGTATCTTTTACTAACGAAACACAAACAAGCTCTAATAGAAAAAAAAGTTTTTTTTTGTATAACATTTGGTTTATGAAATCCATTGATTAACTTAACTTAAAAACGTACTATCTTTTGCGTTTGTTGCAAGGCATCAGATTTTGACTATCCCGTTATTTAAATCTGTATTGATTTTATTTTTGTATTGGGAATAAGTAAATTTCATTTGTTAAGGTTTGAATAGCAAAATATGATTTATTTTATAACTAGTTTGAGAAAAAATAATTTAATAGTAAAATTTGTTTTAAGTTTTAAAATTGATTAAATGAGTAAATGTGTATTGTGTTAAAAATATTTCATTCTAGAAAGACCTAAACTGATATTTTCTTTAAAATAATTTTCGGAGAAAAAATTATTTTCAGATGTTCCTTATTATTCGATATGTATAAAATGAGGACAGGTATGTCAAAATGTCACTTGATCAGATTAACACTTAGGAAATTAGTCAAATAATGTGACTTGATCTGATTTTCACTTAGGAAATCAATAAAAAAATGTGACTTGATCAGATTATCACTTAGGAAATCAATAAAACATTTGACTTTATCAGAATATCACTTAGGAAATTAATTAAAAAGTGTGACTTGATTAGAATATCACTTTGGAAATTAATCAAAAAATGTCACTTGATCAGAGTATCACTCAGGAAACTAATCAAAAAATGTGACTTGATCAGAGTATCACTTACGAAATTAATAAAAAATGTGACTTTAGCAGAATATCACATAGGAAATTAACAAAAAATGTCACTTGAGAAGTACTTTAGTTATTTCATGTACAGATCTCTCTATTTTCTTAAATAGTTACTGATTTAGCATTTTTTAAATGTCCATTTTTTAATTTTGGAAATTTTCTGACGTTTATTCTCAATTCCAAAATACAGAAGATACCAAATTAGAAATTAAGGACAAACATGTAAAATTTGTATTTTAAAATAAAATGAAATTTAGTAAATTTTACCTATTTATGATATGTCATTAGGTATTTGATCGTTTATATTGTATGGTATATGCATTTTTCGTATATTGTATCCACCAAAAATTGAGTCTTTAAAATGGCAATATAATAATTCCATTTTTAAATTGCTAAAAACGACATCAACATAAAAGAAAATCAACATGTTTATGCAGGTAATAAGATGCTTTTGTGCGTTGTATTGTTATAGCGTGAAAATTTTGGAAACTTGTGAACAATTTGATATAAAAATATCACCTTGAAAAGAGCTTTTTTTTATTTTTACTATATTGCCACAAGAGCCGCGATGACTCAGGGGATAGAGCGTTCGATTTCCAATGAGGTGAACCGGGTTCGAATCCCAGCGACGGCTAGTTGATACGAATCCGGCTTGCACCGACCACAGGGCTGACGTAAAATATTCTCACTGGTAGACGGATCAGGGGTTAGTCCCTTTGCAGTCAGGCTAACCGTGGGAGGTTCTCGTGGTCCTTCTCTCCATGCTCCTCTCCAAATGCGGTTTAGTTCCATCAAGAAGTCCTCTGCGAAGGCAAATTTCTCTCAATACTTGATCCAGGAGTTCTCTTGTCTTTTGGATTGGGTTCAAAATTACAAGGCAACAGAGTTGAACATTAGTAGTCGTAAACCCAAAAATTGGGTCTTCATATTACCAAACCCTCCAGCTATTACTGAATTTCGTAGTTTCAGAAAGTATTTTTTCAAAGGTCATGTATTAATATTTTAATTGTTTATCATTACATGCAAATAGTTTTTAGACAGATATATAGAATGCTAGATTAACGAAGGATCATATTCCAAAGTTTCGATAAAAGTTTTATAAAAATACTATTTGTTTTAAAATTTTCTGCTGTATCCTAACTACCACTGAAAAAAAAAACATTTTGTACCAGCCTCAAATGTTGGAGGATATATTAAACAGGATTATATGATTATAAAATACCATTTTACTTTGTATATAAACAATGGGTACAACAGTTTTTTTAATCTAAAGTCCAATTCTGTTTTTTTTTTCATTGATTAAAATTTATAGACAAAATTAGGCATAATTTATACAACTCTTAGACATATAATCATTTTTCAGTCACCCACGAAGATTTCTTGCTATAGAATTTTTTGTTTTTACTGTTTGTTGATATTTAAACGAAGCGTAAAGAAGTCCCCATTATATCCCCTCATTATTTCATAGATCCCTATATAGTTGCGTAAACGTGATTCACAACATTTTAAAGTTCGTAATTATAAATGTACAAAATCGGTCTAATTGTTCTTAAAAAATCAAATTTTACATAAAATTCATGAAAACCCGATCATTAGATCCAAAAGTTATTTGGGAACTTAATTGTTTAGTTTGTGCACAGTACATTTATACTAAAAATTAAATTTTCGTTTAGGTTCTTTTTTTAATTCAATAAATGATATAATTATGAAAAAAATAAAAATGTCGAGACTACTTTATATTATAGAAGGTTCACTCCAGAAAAAGTCTAAAAATTGAGCAAAAATGTGTCAAAATAGTTTCGAAGCAAATACAGGCTAATTTGAAAACCCTATGTATTCATTACGGAATATAGTAACATGCTCAAAACAGCATATACTCATATTTGAGCAAAATATGTGCTTTTTTGAGCATATCACTACATTCAATAATGAATGCATGAGGTTTCCAAATTCGACTGCGTCGACTTTCTATTCGACATTTCGGAGCTATTTTAACACATTTGTGATAGAAACTGATTTTCTGTTTATTGTAATGTTTGGTAAGACAGCAAAATTTTGTTTATTTAACAAATCTGATACCATGAATTTTAAATATTGTTATAAAATGTTTTATATAATATTAAAACTGATATCTATATTTATTAATTGCATTTATAGGCAAAACAGAATACTTTAACTTTGATAATTCAGAAACGGATATAACGAAGATAGCGTTATCGTTCTATTCTGGGTTATTTGCGTATAATGGTTGGTAAGTGAAATTTTGAACTTTAATTTCAATTAACTGTCTAAAAAGTGTGAACAGCATTAAAATGATCATATTTAATAATTTCTTTAAACATTTTTATACTTTGAAAATATTTATTCATATTTCATATTTATAATTTGAAAACTATTCGATTGAAACTATCCATTTTGAAAAGCAAAAATACTGACTAAATTTTGTGCTCTGATACGGCAATGGTTTATTTTGTACGCAACTTACATTGCAGGAAATTCTAATGATATTTCCTATTCAATTTGATACCTATTGTGTGTGTCAACAAAGTAAAACGACATTTTAATGTATTTTATCACATTGAATGATATGGCCCAACGCATTTATGCCAATGAATAATATTGCCCAATGCATTTATGCCAAGGAATAATATGGCTTCACATATTAACTAAATCGTTTCAGCCTGAAACAGAACACTTTTAGTCATTTATAATTTAACCTATTGACCAATTAGAGAGAGTTAAATATTTGACCCGTAACCACGCATAATAGTTCTATAGACTCGAGATTTCATTTTTTAAAGGTAAATTAAAAGAAAAATATTTTTGTATATTATGTTAAGGAAAAGTTAACGTTTTGTAAGCGTTTGGCAATTGGAAAAGAAATAGTAATCTTTTAGAAAACTACATAAGAGAATTCTGAAGTGCATTTTATGTATAGCAATTAGTTAAAATACACGCAGCAAATCTATCTAAATTTCCATATATAGTTTTTAAACATCTCCCTATCAGAATATGATTTGATTCAGTTTCTCCAAAGCAAATTTTATTTAGCAAGGAGGCAAAAATTCTTTTTTTTTAAATGTAGCTAAATAATGATTTAATAACGTATCTATAAATAGAGAAACTCGATTAACATAAATTTTAAAAGCTCTTTTAAAATTAATTGAAGTTGTTTAGCTTTATTCATATTTCAAGCTTTAATTCTGTATTTTTTATAAAAACTAAAATATGCTTTTTGATCATGACTGTAGATTGAGGTTTGTACGTTTAGAAAGTTCAAAGAAGCCAGCTGCAGAAGATACCAGAAGCCTTTCTCATTACCTTAAATATATATTTTAAAAATTATACGTGCAAAAACTGAAATAAAGTATTAAGGGTCAAAAATTCAGTATTTAAATTTGGAAATAAATAAATGCTATTTAAACTTAATGAATCTCTAGTGAGGTTGGAAAACATTGAAACATATTTGGTTGCTTGAAGTAACAGGGAAGACTAGAAAGGGGATTACGCTGCTTTGAAAAAAAATCTTTTTTATTTTGCACACACTATTTCTGTTGATTCATATACAAAATAGCATCCTGAATTCGAATATGAATCGGGTTTTTGCACCACACTAATTGTTTATTGGGAACACCTCCTTCACTTTATCATTTCATTGGCCATGAATTGATGGTCATGACCGTGATTGATGGCCATGAATTTGATTTAGAGGAAGGAAAAAGGATAATTTTAACCATTGCATTTCTTTTGACGACCCAGAGAGAGAGAAAGAATTCAAAAACGTAAGCAGTTGGCAAGTAGAAGATTTCGAAGAAATTACTACCTTAAAAATAAAAAAAATCATTAAGAATTTTTTTTTTGTAATTTCAAAACTTATTTTCTATATATTCCAGCTTCTTGCAAAATCTGTTCATGTTTCAATCATTTCACCTCTCCAGCCTCTACTATCATTTTCTAGACCCCTAGGAGATGTTTCAAAGCTTTCATAAAGAAGTTTGCAAGATTCAATGTGCGAGTGCTTCCTGACATTCTTTCGTCACTTGCTTTTAGCCAAAATTGCGGTTTAGAATTCATATTGTTCAGCGCTGGGGGAAAAAAAGAAGGTTAAAAGCTGGAATATGTTAAAACAAGAGTCATAAACTTCCGAAAAATAATTAACTACAGAAAAAAGATCGACTATAATGATTTTTTCTCTTAGCTATAACTGTTCATGTCTATGAAGTTTTACTTCGTCCATCCACGCATAAGAAAGTTAACGGTTAAAATTAACTTTTTTGCTTCTTCAAATAAAATTCAAAGCTGTAAAAATTGTAGAAAAAATAAACATGGAGGTGGTAATGATGGATGGGGTAATGGTAATGGGATGGGGTAATAGGATGGTTTCCGAGTAATGATGGATGGTTGTTAACGGGGGTCATTTTTACTTAAGAATTAGCAGGAACTAGCACCTCAAAGTTTCAAAGAGCAGTCCAACTGACTATAATCTCGCTGACAGATTTTAATTGCGTTTTTGTTTCTTCCCCTTTTAAATATTGAGTTCCCTACTGGGAATACTTCTGGTCTTCATTTTTAGCAGGGATTCTGAAATATGTATATTAAGGGTGGATATTACGGAACACTCTGTATAATATTTGAATACGACAGCTAAATTCATTTTCCTACAACAGTTCGAGTCATTATCTTCAAAAATGTTTTTAATTTTTTTATCTTGTAAATAATTTTTTTTAATGTGTTTCTTTTTGCTAATTTAATATTTTTAAAAAATTAAGAAATTTTTTTTGTACGTGTCTACACGTTTTACGTTTTCTGTACGTGTCTACAGTTAATTATAGTAAAATAAACACTTTGCAAGGTTAACTAAATCGATAATCTCTCTGTATGAGCTATCAATTGACTTCTGTTAAAATAGAAAAGAATGTTGCTGAAATCTAGCGATATCAATATAATATCAATCGATACAAATATTATTATTTTTGCGTGACTTTGAAACATTTTTCTTATTGCTTATCCTTCAAAAGGGTATTTTGAAATAAATTTAGTTGGCTACAATGTTTCAAAATTATTTACACCTGTATGTGATTTCGGATATTTTTTGATGCACTGAGTTGAAAAAGCTCTCATAATTTTTTTTAAATCATACTCCGAAACTACAAATCTAGTTTCCTTTTCTCAAAATTATTTTCCCGCATTATTTATTGTTCATAATAATAAAGTTTTCAGTTGCATTTCATAGATTTTTAAATACTTATTTGTGATTGGAACTTTTTTAATTTCTAATGCTGTACTGCTGCTCAAATTATTATTACTCATCAACCGGGTTTACGCAATTGTTATTACTCTTCAACCGGGTTTACGCAATTGTTATTACTCATAAACCAGATTTACGCAATTGTTATTGCTCATCAACCGGATTTACGCAATTGTTATTACTCATCAACCGGGTTTACGCAATTGTTATTACTCATCAACCGGGTTTACGCAATTGGTATTACTCATCAACCGGGTTTACGTAATTGTTATTACTCATCAACCGGGTTTACGCAATTGTTTTTATTCATCAACCGGGTTTGCGCAATTATTTTATAGAAAAAAGGATAATGGAGTATAAATAGTTTTTATTACCGTTTTATTTACAGGAATTTTAATCAAAGAGATGTGTAAATAACGAAATATTAAGTTTTTATTTTTAATTGGATGTCCCGAGTTTATTCTTCAAAAATGTGGTTGCTTTTTTGCAGTACAAACTGGTTTTTTCCTATGTAAATCAAAGGAGATACAGTGCATGGAGGGAACACTTTCATGCAAATATACACATGTGCATCTCATTTAAAAGGTAATTTGTGAAAATTATCATTAAAATACAAACAAGTTTAAAATTTCAACTTAAGACTCATAAAATGCTTAATGTGTGCATATGTTATGTAGATATTTGGTAAAAATAAATTCTACTCTCAGTAATTATGAGAATGATTGCGATAATATTTTTTATTGCAACAATTCATTCACTACAAGCTTTTTTCTACCGTTTTACTTAAATATGTAAAAAAATTTTTGAAATCTAAAATGTGGAATTTTTTTATTTAGGAATTACTTGAACTTTGTGATTGAAGAATTAAAAGATCCACATAGGTACGTTTAACTTAAATACTAATATTTTTTTAAATTTTTATGGTAATTTTATTTGATTTTTTTTTCTTAATAGTACATGTTTGCATGAAAAAGTTGGTTTTTGATGGTAAGTCAATGATTTCAAAGTATATCAACGCGACGATAATGTTTTCTGATATTTAGTAATAGTTATTATAAAATTTATTAAATTATTTAAATGTACTGAATTTTACTCGGAGGTCTGAGTAAAAGAGCTTCGTACTTCCGTGCCACAGGTCTGGGGTTCGAAACTGGCAAAGTTGACTCAGGTTTCCATCCCTTCAATTGCCCTCAACAGTGCGCCAAATATGCATAGGGACTAAACACGGGGTTCCGCGTGACTACTTAGCCGGAACGTTCCTGCAACTCCGAGACAAAGATCAAGAAAACTGTGAATGGGCCCAGTAGGCCTTGACCCTCCATGGGCTGTCGTGCCACTGGGTTTGGTTTCAGAATTTTACTCGATATTGTGGGATTTTTCACAATTAATAAATTTTGATGAGTATGCATATTTGATAGTTTCTTCTTTGTATTTTCGGATTTAGAAACTGCGTTTATATAAGTGTCAAGCAACAAATAAAATAAAAATGTTTTCATCCCCAAAAGCAGCAATACAAAAATGAAAACTATGTAAAGGGTTTAAGAAAAACACTGGTTCAACGATTCCGCAGTGTTCTTCGGGTCTTTCCTTTTTTTTCTCGTTGGACTTACCTCTTTAATGGACTTACCTCTTTAACGATTTTACCTTTATAATGTAATTTTCTTTAAGTTTCACGCTGTATTATAGAGTCTGATTTCTTTACTTAATTAGATCTATTCATTCCGATCCATTATCTTTTTGCGTTAGACTTAGTTTATAGCACAGTTTGATCAGCTGACATAGTTGTTACGCTCGGTTATCATCCATTGAAATCTGCTTTCTAAATTCGTTATTCTATAATTAGGGTACAAAAAATTGCAATAATTTTTTGTTTAATGTTAATTTCTTAATACATAGCCGGTGATTATTAATAACAGATTAATTACATTGACCATTATATATTAAATTCAATGGTTAAAGTAACAATGACAGGACATAAACCTTTGCATTAAACAAGGTTAATGTTATGGTTTACCATTCAATTGATATTAAAACTTTATTATTTTTGGTAAGCAAAATATTTTTAAGCTTATCGAATTTCATTAAGTTATGTGAAATTGTCGCTTAATAAGAAAGTGTGAAGCCCACCATTAAACACTAGGACATGGAAATACGGGAACTATATTTCTATAATATAGGAATTTGGAAATCATGATTTTTAGATTCAGTCGCGTTTTATTTTAAATTGAAAAGTGCTTCGCACTTTTATTTTAAGGGTAATTTCTTTGGAAATACTTATATTAAAAGGTAAGCATTCTAAAGTGGTGGACATAATATTAAAGTGGTGAACGCAATGAATGCGGCATTGAAGTAACGAGTGCTGCCTGGAAGTAACGAGTGCTGCCTAGAAGTAACGAGTGCGGCACCGGAGTAACGAGTGCTGTCTAGAAGTAACGAGTGCTGTCTAGAAGTAACGAGTGCTGTCTGGAAGTAACGAGTGCTGTCTGAAAGTAACGGGTGCGGTCTGGAAGTAACGGGTGTGGCATAGGAGTAATTTATGCATATTAAAATGAGTTTTTTATTTTTATTTTCTGTTGAAGTATATTGACAAAACAAAAATATTTATTCTAGAAATCTACCTCGAGCGATATTTATTTCTTGCGTTTTGGTTACTGTTGTATACACACTAACTATTATGGCGTTCCACACTACTTTGTCTATTCAGGAAGTTATGGGTGCCGAAGCTGTAGCTGTGGTAAGTAATTTTATTTAGATGTTATCTTTAAAAATACTACTCATTAAATCATTGCTATATTCATAAGTTTAAATGTTTATTAATAAAACAGAATTTGTGTTTTCTGAAAATTTTGTGCATTTAAGATTAATAGTTTTAACGAGATTAAAATTTTCCAAATTAGAGAAAAAATTTATTTTACTATTTTCTTGATGCTAAAATAAATTTAAATATTTAACTATTCGAGAAATTGCAAAATATCGTATCAAGAGATTCTTTTTGTTGACTATCAAAGTGTGGATTTAGTACATATGTTTATTGGTTGAGTAATAATATTTCCAGTTTAACATAAATTTTAAGAGATGAATGTTTAATTACAGATAAATTATTGATGTTTTTAAAAATTTTCTAACGATATTTTATATTTTATTTGCCTTATTTTCCTAAATACTTTATTTTTCATTTAAAAAATATAAAATTTTTCTTAGCATTAGGTCTTGAAAACTAGTACAGTATGAAAAAAGCGAACACAAATGAAATAACTTTTGATGAAATGATAGGATTTTCACTTACTATGACTCAATCTTCATGGAACTTAACCCTAAATAACCTAATTAATTACTGCTGAGAATATTTTAAGTTATGAAATCAGACACTAACGAACTGTTTAAGCGAATTGAAAAACTATTGCAGACAATAATGAAATTATTTTTTTGATAATAATTCCATGTAAAAAGGTTTTATTTATTCATTATTTTATTTCATAGTCGAAAAAAGTTTGATTTGTAAGGTTTGAAAGTTTTTACATCATTTGAAATTATGTAGTTTTAAATGACGAAATCCAAAATCCAAAACTGGAACAAAATTGGATGAATAGCTCTCGAAAAATCAAAATATAAATATACTTTTTTTAAAATTAGATAACTCAGAAAGGATTCGATCTTTTTCGTTCAAATTTTGGAGTTTGCCAATCAAAATTATATTCTTTAATAATTGTATATTTAAAATTTTTTCATTTATTAATACATAAAATTATAAAAAAATAAATCCTTTTTAAATGATTTCTTGCACGAAAATTTCCTTGGATAAATGATTTTCAAAATTATGAGCTACAAGTTTTCGTTTTGCTGAAAAAGGGATATAGATATGGCAAAATACGCTTTAAGTAAAATGAACAGTAAGGGGTCTAAGCTTTGGGCTGCTCTCCTGAACAAACTTTTGAGATCATATTTTCTAAGCTATGCCTACCCCCGTGCCCTATATTTTAAAATTTAGAAAATCATTCCCACTGAAAAAATTCATGCTTATTCATAAAAACTACGTTTCTGTGCCTGATTTCTGTAATTAAAATATTGTATACTCCATTTAATTAGTATATTTAAGATTAGGATCTCAAATAATTAAAATTGAGTCCTAGTAAGTGTTCATTATATTGAAAATTATTAAAGATGGTCGTTTTCTACTTAAAGTATTTATTGTATAAAATGTTTATTACATAAAATATATAAGTTATACTATTACGTATGTGCCTCGATATCTGTTACCTAAAATTTAAATTCGTGTATTTATTTATATTTCAATGTTAATTTACATAAATTCCAGCTACATTATCTATGGTAACTCTTAAAATTTGTATGTCCCGCAGTGAACTGATCGTCAAGACACGGTTCCCAATAGAACACTGAAGTCAAAAATCACTGGCTGCGGTCAGTGTGTGGGTGGGTGACCACTTTGATCAGTCTGCAAAGGGACCGAGGGTGGGTGGTATCGGACCTCTCGTTAAACTGTTCCACAGTAAAGTGCTCGAGCTACCGAAGCCGGGAAGCCATCCGCTTTGCGGAGGATCAAAATTGTGATGGCATGTCTTCGGATCATCCTCGGGGAAGTTTCCCAGACCATCACCAATAGCCCATTGTGCAGCTCTGGCACGACGTAAACGAACAACAACTTAAACTTTTTGCGATTTTTTTTCTTTGTTTATCATATTTGTATATAAAAACTTGAAATTTTTTGTTTCTAAATTATGTAATATTTATTAACAATTTTTCCTACGACTCTTCAGTTAAAATTTGATCAAACTTGTTGTTTATTCTATTCTAGATATACGCTGACCGACTTTTTGGGAATTTTGCGTGGGTTGTGCCAATTTTTGTAGCTTTGTCTACGTTTGGTGGTGTCAATGGAATCCTCTTCACTTCTTCCAGGTATATTATGTTGTGTAATAAGTATTGTTATCTTTAATATTTTAACTAATTCTCTTAGAATAAGTGCGAAAAATAATTTATCAGAGATGTCTTATTCGAATTTTGAATCTTATTTTAAAGATTGTTTTATGCTGGAGCAGAACAAGGACAAATGCCTGAAATCCTAAATATGATTCAAATAGATCATTTAACACCAACACCAGCTGTGATGTTCGTGGTATGATATATAATGTTTATATATCTTTTTAACGTGTTTAACTTTATATCTTTTTAACGTGTTTAACTTTACTTATTTTTAACGTCTTTAACTTTAATTATTTTTAACGTCTTTAACTTCTCTTCTTTTTAACGTCTTTAACTTTACTTCTTTTTAGCGCCTTTACCTTTACTTCTTTTTAACGTCTTTAACTTTATGTGAGCAAGTTTTATCTCAATTTAAGAATAAACACTTTTAAATGTATTACCTGATTAAAACTTCACTCACTTCAAAAATATATGAAAAGCCAATAACAGTAGACGAGTTTCAAGAGCTTCAAAAACAGGCACACATTTTCAAGACTTGACAGACGTGAATGAGAAAAAAACAAAAGTGATTCGAAATAAAAGAACACAGTTGCCAAACAAAAATGTAAAATAAAGGTGAGAAACAATCTCGGAAATGGGTGCCTATTTCTGAAGCGTTTGAGACAGGTTATTTGCTGTTTATATATTTTTGAAGTGAACGAAGTTTTTAATCGGGCAATATTTTACTGCTTCAGTTTCTTAGGATTATTTATTTAACTCATAAATGTAAATTCATATTATTACTCCATTATGTTATAATTCATAACGTATATAACTCATAAATGTTATACCCTTCGTTACATCATGACCCGTTATTTGGATATATGTCTTTTTACCCCCCCCCCCCAAATCGTTAAATAAGTGATTGCTGCGTTAAGTAAAAATTTATGTATTTAGTTTGCTTCTTGCTCGTTCGCAGCCTCTTCTGTCAATTGTTTCTTATTGTGGTTCGCTTCATCGGGCTTGGCTCGGGGTCTTGTGTCAACGAGTCCACCCCATCATTGTTTGGGGCTTTTATGCTGCATACCTAAAGAGTCTGAAATTTAGCGAATGAGCCTTATGGTGTTAGGCGTGACATGAAATAATATTGATGCGTTAGATAATTAATTACTGTATAATTACATGTAATCATTTGCAGTTATCATGGGCTAGAATCAGCTTGCCATCAGACTAACCGTGGGAGATTTTCGTGATTTTCTTCTCAATGTAACTCAAATGCTGGTCAAATTGCTCTCCACGAAAGCTAATTTCTCCCAATACTTGATCCAGAATTTTTTTTTTCTATATTGGGTTTGAAATTGCAAGGTTAAAGAGTAGAACATTGATACTTTTTAACTCAGAATTGGGTCGACTGTTCAACGCCAGTTATGAAATAAAACTCTAATTGAAACCTGATATGACAGCAAATATGACTTAATGTCACCGATATTTCTTCTTAAGCTGATCCAATTTCAAAAAAGAAATATTATTAGTCCCAATGTTGATTGTTTACCAGTTTTTATTGAAAAAAAAGCAATCTTGTCTCATAGTCTTGTCTATTTTTCAAATTTTATTTTACGGTTAGTCGTTACGACATAGGCATTATTTTATATTTCTATCAACTAGTTGCAACCACAGTTAGAGCATCCTACTCTTATCGCGAAGATTATATGTTTGATCCACGGGCCATTATTACAATTGCAATTGCGGTCAATAAGTTTTGACGGTGCTTGTTATTGTGGTTCATCTATACAATGTTTTACATTAATTTCCTCATGTTATGTAATTATGTAATGTTTTACATCATTTTCATCATGTTAACAATAATACAATGTTTTACATCAATTTCATCATGTTTTTTACATCAATTAGCATCAATAATTATGTAGATGAGCAAATTTAATAAAAACTTTCTCGTAGCAAAGCGCAATGAAAATATTAGGGGGACCGGAAAGTAATGTCGTTTTGGTGCATTTGATATTTGCTATCAAGATTTTATTGTTTAATCAATAATGTATTCATCCTCGTTAGCAACAAACTTTTAGTGCTGGATCGAAAATGAATTGAAATGGATTGAAGAGTCTAACGAATTAAGGACTAACGAATATTTAATATTCGCCATCAAGATTTCATTGTTTAATAAATAATGTATTCATCCTCGTTAGCAACAAACTCTAATGCCGGATCGAAAATGATTCGAAATGGATAGAAAAGTCTAACGAATTAAAGACTAACGAATATTTAATATTTGTTATTAAGATTTTATTGTTTAAAAAATAATGTATTCATCCTCGTTAGCAACAAACTTTTAATGCCGGATCGAAAATGAATCGAAATGGATCGAAAAGTCTAACGAATTAAAGACTAGCGAATATTTAATGCGCCGAAACGACATTACTTTCCGGTACCCCTATTGTTAAGGCAAATATTGGGAAAAAAATGATCTGCAAAAAGTTCAAAATAAAATAATTTAAAAATAGAAATAAAAAAACCTTTATGGTTTTGAACGAAAATGAAGAAAATAAAATATTGAGTGTAAATTATAAGAATTGATATGATTTACAGTCTCGGTTAATCCTCTAGATAATATGCTCATTTCATGTGAAGTTTCTCTTAAGATGCGTGTTGAAAGAATTTTTTAATGAAATTTTTAATTAAATCATATGAAAAATTGGAGACTTTCGAACAATAACAAATAAACCACCGACCTTTCATATGCTTTCTTTAAAATTTTTTATAACAAATTCTTGTAACACTTTTAAGACTATAAGAACTTGACTATAAGAACAAGACTATATATTAAGACTCTTAGAACTTGAAACTATACCAACTAGATTCTTTTAAGTTACACCCAATATTTAATTTATTTTTTCTTGCAGAGCCAAAATAATAGTTTATGTTAATTTTTTTACATTATTGAAGAGTACTTACGATTCATTTTTTAAAATTTATTTCAACTAATATTGTACTTTTTACATTTAGGCATTCCTCTCACTAATATATTTGTGTTCGAAAGATATATACGCTTTAATCAACTATGTAGGATTCGCAACATGGCTGGCAATAGGTATTGCAGTTGTTTGTTTACCTTATTTACGTTGGAAACAGCCTGATCTGCCAAGGCCAATAAAAGTAAACTTTTATTATATTACTTTTAATTGCATTTTTAAGTAGTTTTGGTACTAGTTATTTGTTAGATCTCTTTTTCTTTTGAATTTGTAAGTGCATTTTCGCATAATAATTATGGCATGTTTGCTTTCCTACAATGAGAAAAAGTATGGTCTAAACTACCAGAATATGGTAAAATTTACTGTTTCTAGTGCTATGGACACATTAAAACGATAGGTAATTTTTTCCGAAGTTCTTTGATAATGATTTTTATAAAATTACTATAAAATATGTTTTAATAATGTTATAAAATCTGGTAATTTTACCATGATTTTTTAAATCATGGCATAAAAACCTTCTATTCGGTTTAATTTACCATTCAGATATATAATTTTTACTATGTGTGTGTTACTAAGAACTATAATTTTGAAAGCCAAAATTTCCGATAAACCATTTTTTTCTCCGTGTTTTAACCTACTAAAAATTTTTAATTGTTAACCCCTTGAAGAAGATGGGACACTGGTGTTCCTTTTATAGATTTTTCGGACACCCTAATTACAAGCAAAAATATATTTCGGTACTTTCTCAATTATAAAAAAAAATCTAATATTTATAAAAAAATATGTTAGATTGTCGAAATTATATTTGTACTAAAATATAAAGTCCAAAAAATGTTGCTTGAGCAATTTTTTTTCTCATTCATATTCCAAAATTTATCAATAATTGATTTTGCAAATTAAGGAAATTTTTGTGATGAATAACAGTTTCTCTTAGATCTAAATAACTGGAAATCGACACCAGGGTTTTTAATGTTGTATTTCGTAACCATAAGTTATTAAAATTATGAATATAATACTTTTCACTTATTTATACCTAACTTAATACATAATAATGAAGAAAGTATAAGCTATATGCTTAATAAAAATTCTGCGACGAAGTGTTTACACGACTACAATTAAAACTCAAGATGTTAAAGTACAAGTAACTTTTAAAGCATTGAAACAGACTTAATAATTTAGCTGAAATTAAAAAAGTTTTGGAATAAAGCGTATTAAAATTGTTCTTAGAAGTACTAAAGCGCACATTCCTTTAAGGATTTATTATAATTTTTAAATCTAATTTTTGTATATTTTAGTTTTTGCATTCATTAGCGCTTGGTATTTATTAGCGTTTTGTATTTACCTTATTTAATAGCATGATTTAAAGAGTTTATACAATTATGTAATATTTCAGGTGAACTTGTTCTTCCCTATTATTTACATACTAGCAACAATTTTTATTACTATTGTACCTATGATCGCTGAACCTGTTGAGACAGGTAAGTAGCTAACTTAATGCATTTTAAATAAAACTTATTACTGAATTATAATGTTTTTTAAAGATATTTTTAAGTTTTACAAATCAGCAGAAGGGCGGAAAAAACTCTTTAGATAATAAAATAAGCTTGAAAAAAAAAAGCTAAATTGTTTCCGAGAAGTATGCTCCTCAAATATTTGTGAATGTGCTTATCAAAAATCATTCTTCTTTAAAAGCTCTATAGTTTGTACAAAATTTACCCTTAAGAAAAATACGTGAATTCCCTTTTTAATTTTTTAATTTCAATGAAAAGTTTATTTTTTTTGTATAAAAATATAATTTAAAATTCTAATTGAATTATAATTTGAATAAATCTTCTTTGGGCGATGTTGCAGNCAAATAAATGATGGGTCTCTATTCCAAATTCTCTACATTTCTCCAAAGTTTGTCGTAGGGTGAAGATTTGGTCAACTGTGGACCTTCCTTTGCGGAAGCCACACTGATAGTCACCTATGACGCTGTCTACAATGGGAGACAGACGTTCAAATAGGATATTTGAGAAGACCTTATAGGCAACGCATAACAGACTTATTCCTCTATAGTTGTGATTATAATTTGAATAAATCTTCTTTGGACGATGTTGCAGTTTTCGACCTTGCCCTTATCTCCTGATAGCATTTTTTTTAATAGCTATCGTTGAACAATCGACCCAATTTTTGTGTTTACGACTACTAATGTTCAACTACGTAGCCTTGTAATTTTGAACCCAAATCCAGAAGACAAGGTAACTCCTGGATCGAGTATTGGGTGAAATTAGCTTTCGTGGAGGACTTTCTGATGGAGCTAACCAGCATTTTCGCTACATGGAGAGGAAGACCACGGGAGCCTCCCACGGTTACCCTGACGGCAAGGGGACTCTAACCTGTGATCCGTCTACCACTGAGGATATTTCACGTCAGCACTGTGATCGGTGCAAACCGGATGAAGAATTCGTATCGACTGGGATTCGAACCAGGTTCGCCTCATTGGAAAGCTAGCGCTCTATCCCCTAAACCATAGCGGCTCTCTGCTAGCAATTCTAGTCTCCAAACACTGTTCCAGATCCTGGAAATCACACTTTATGAAACTCCAAAATCAGCCAATAACTCGCCAAGCTTTCGATTCGGTTAAATAACTTCGTTGAGACATCGGACTCATGGAAACAACACGTTTACTGAATGTCAATCATTTTTTCCCCGCTTAGTCCTTCATTAAGTTGAAAGCCAAATCAAATTCGCTGCCGCTAAAACATAGTCTTCTGCGTCAAACTAAAAATTTGCATGCTGCAAAGTTTGAAAATAAGAAAAACTTGCATTTGTGACTCTCTTCCCTTTTATGCATTTTATTAGTGCCCAAATACAATTTGATAAATAATCGAAGCATTTTTTCATAATACAAGGTATTTTTCTCATTTTTATGAATTTTATTTAATACTACTGAAAAGAATGTACCTAAGTGGGGACATCGCAACCGTTGGATTTTTTAAAAAAAAAAAAAACAGTTTAATAAAAGAAAGCTTGTCATATTTTTCAGACATTACAAAAAAAAACCAACATTTTAATTATTTTACATTAAAAAACACTGTTTAAAGAACGTAAATACATTAAAAAGAACTTGGACTTATTAAAATATGAGTTATGAAATCTAAATTCAAATTGCATAGTTATTTGAATTTTTACTGTGTTATACACAAATTATTTCTTTCAGGTATTTTAACTTTTTCAAACCTGTTTTTTTTAGGATTTGGAGCATTGATTATAGCAACTGGTGTTCCTGTTTATTTTATCTTTGTTTATTGGGAGAACAAACCACGATGTGTTCAAAACGCAATACGTAAGTTTGTGCAACAACTTTTTAACAACTTAAAAATAGAATATTTACATTTTTAAAAAAAATATATTTTTATTAAAATATCATTCAGATCAAATATGGTTGCATTTAATTTCTAAATTTTTTAAATTTCGTAAATTTTTTTTCAAATTAAACTCGTTGAGTGAGAAATAAAAAAACGATGGAATTTAAAAACACACGAAAAAGCGAAAAGGTAATATGAACTTTTTTTTAATTCATTGCGAACGAAAGACCATACTGAATAATATTCATTTGCTTTTACAAATATGAAGATCGCAATAAAAGTCGACAGGTTTTAAGCGCCCCAAAAGAGGTGCCCGTACTCAAGATACAACGGATGTGAAAGAGGAAAGGAAAATATATTAAGATCAGAAAACTTTGAATTGCCAACGGAATTTTTTTTAAGTAAATGAAGTTTTCATATTAAGCATACCCTTCAGCTTCAGTTTCTTCAGTTTTTTTCAGATTTAATAAAAGAAAGAATATCAAATACAATAATATATAAATATTATCGAATAGCATAGTTATAAAATACCATAATATCCCAATTATCAAATACGATAATATCGTAATAACTATATACAACGCTAAATATCCAATGCAGTAATGTCGCAAGTGTTATCAAAAATCATATTATTTTACTACTGTTAAAAATTTTTTAGAGCGAAAATATTAAACAATGCGAAATTGTTGATATTAAAAAAATATCGCAATATATCTTGAAATATAACTATTTCCAGATGAATCACGAGATTAAAATTCTAAAATTGCCTGAAATTTTTAAAGCCTGACTCATTTTTTTTAAAAATTATAATTGTTTCAAAAATTATATTTTGCTATTGTTTAAAATTTTTTAGAGCGAAAATATTAAACAATGCAAAATTGTTGATATTAAAAAAATATCGCGATATATCTTGAAATATTAGAAATATGAAATATTAGAATATTAGAAATATTAGAGTATTATACTTATACTCTTATATATTATAATATTATACTTGAAATATTAGAATATTGAAATATTTCCAGGTGAATCACGAAATTAAAATTCTAATATTGCCTGAAATTTTTAAAGCCTGACTAATTTTTTTAAAAAAATTATAATTGTTTCAAGAATTATATTTCGCTATTGTTTAAAATTTTTTAGAGCGAAAATATTAAACAATGTAAAATAGTTGATATTAAAAAAAAATATCGCAATATATCTTGAAATATCACTATTTCCAGATGAATCACGAAATTAAAATTCTAAAATTGCCTGAAATTTTTAAAACCTGACTCATTATAATTGTTTCAAAAATTATATTACTTTGCTATTGTTGAAAAAAATTTTAGAGTGAAAATATTAAACAATGTAAAATTGTTGATATTAAAAAAAATATCGCAATATATCTTGAAATATCATTATTTCCGGCTGAATCACGAAATTAAAATTCTAAAATTGCCTGAAATTTTTAAAGCCTAACTCATTTTTATTAAAAATTATAGTATTTTGCTTTTGTTAAAAAAGTTTTAGACCGAAAATATTAAACAATGTAAAATTGTTGATTTAAAAAACAATGTAAAATTATTGATTTAAAAAAAAATATCGCAATAAATCTTGAAATATCACTATTTCCAGGTGAATCAAGAAATTTAAATTCTAAAATTGCCTGAAATTTTTTAAAGCCTGACTAATTTTTTAAAAAATTATAATTGTTTCAGATTCATTCACACGAACTCTTCAGAAGCTATTAGTAGTTGTCGCAGCTGATAAGAAAACTGACGTGTGAAGATACTTAATCCGAAGAGTTGGTCTCAAACTCATTCTGTTCCTGCGCTTTTGGTGTTTGTTTTATTAATGAGTGTGCCAAATAAAATGAACTGTCTAAGATCTGAGTGTAATGCACTTTTAAGGAGTGTTGGACAATAGAAAACATTACATAGTGTTTCTGTTTTGTAATTTAAATATCATGAATGTGATAGGCCTACACTCAACTTGAGAAGAGATATTCTTTATGGTCTTAGCACAGTTGTTGATGGTATTTCTAATTATCGATTTATTAAACCACAGAGTCACTTTTGAGATGATCATATCATAAATCATTAAGTTGATCATAATTTAGTAACACAAATCATTGCCGTGAACGGTTCGTCTTCAACATAATTTACAACATAATTTTTTATCGTTATACATTGCGTTAATAAATTTCACAAGTTGAATATATTTTTTGTTGTAAACTAAAAGCGAAAACTTGACCAATGACTTTATGGACTTGTCCAATATTTCTTTTATCTGATAATAAAAATTAAAAAACATCTAGCATTTTTAAGCAGTAAATATAAGTAAGAGTAATATTTTTACAGAGCTTATTGAAAACTAGCAGTTTTTTTTTCAGAATGCTTTACTGAATTTTTTTTTTAACTTAGGTACCTATTCCATCTTGACTTCATGGTTTTGTTATTAATCTACTTTAAAATGTAATCATTATCGAATATTAAGCAAAAACATTTGCCTCATAAAATTTTTAGTTAAGATTCTACACTTAAGATGTTTGCTAATTAAATCGGTTAAAACACTGAATAATTCAAAATAGTAAGATTGAATACCTTCAGTGGTAATTTCGCTGAATATACTTTGTCAAAAGGTTTCAAGATTTGCTTAATTGATTGGAGAATTAGTTTTGGTATGCAACAAAATCTCTGAAAAATAAAATTTACGAAATTAAAAAATATATTTTGTTTTCGTTTATAACTTACTGTTACAGATAGACTGTGCATAGTATAATTTTAAATTATCAGACTGATTTTCTTGTCTTGCAAGAATTCATTTAAGAATTTAGTTTTGTTTTTAAAACTTATGAATTTTTTTTAATTAAGAGGCATCTTGCAAAAACATTGAGTATTCTGTGGTTTAATAATTTCCAAGCTATTTCATTAGAATGAGTCATTTTCACAATTGCTATAATGTCTTGAACAAGTTTAATGCATTTTAAATTGAACTAAGTACAAGGCTTTGCTCCATTATTTTAGCAGAGCTGGTCACAAGTTCTAAAGAATGTGTTATAACTGGTTTTAGGACATATTTATGGTAGTACATGTGCTCACTCATTATTATGTTATGTCGTTTCATTGTTTATTTGTGATTTCATTACATATCTAGAGTAATGTATTTGGTCATTATAAAATATTTTCAGTATCGAATTTTATTTTAGAAATATTTAACTTATTTTAATTAATGTTGAACATGAAATCATACACATTATTGAAGTTTCTGTTGTTTACCTATTTGTTTGTGTTTATACTAAATTAAAATATTTGACTAATTTCTTGAATTTTATTTTTGAAAATTTTTGACTGCCAAAAAGAAATTTAAATTTTTGTCATTGTTTGTTTTTTTGTTGCTGACTATTTTGTAAAAATTTTTCATATGATTTTTTAAAGTTTTATGACGCAATTGGTGTGAAAAATATTTTGCTAGAGAAATAAAACAATTAATAGGAATTTCAAGTTTTAGCTGGAAATAGTGTTAAATTTAGAAATGTATAGCAAATTTAATGAACAGTTTAAAAGTTATACTACAGAAAAAATAATTCGAAATTTTTCTTTCGGCGAATTTTTTTGAATGTTATAATTTAAAATATTTGTACTAATATTTTTCAAAATCAGATGCGATTTATATAATATTTTTAAAATGAAAATTTTAATTTCAATTTTTAGTTTATGAATCAATTTTTTCAACACTTTTTCCCAATTCATAGGATTGTATCCTGGAATATGCTGTAATCTGTAATAAAGAAAGAGACATTCAGTTTTTGACATTTTTTTTCAATTTCACAAATACTTGCAGTATTTTGTAACTTTATAGGTGTCTCAATGATGCCATTTTTCATACTTATAAATAAAGTTTAAGTCTTTCAGAGGTTTGAAAGACCGAAAATACATTAAGAACGAAAACAAGTATTTTTAACACCCTTTACCAGAAAATATAGCAAGCTTGCAACTTGTATTGACTACTTTGGTTGTTATTTATGATAATTGTTAATTAAATAATTAAAGTTATAGTAAAAATCATAGGACAAAAAAGCTAGATTTTTTTTATAAAAATGTCCATATCTCCATAAATATTTATGCTAAGTTGACGAAACTCCATGCAATTATTCCAAGGAAAAAAAAAATTATGCAAGTTGCAAATTAGTGCAGTGTTTTATGTTATAGGGTGTTCAAAACACTTGTTTTCGTTTGTAGTTTATTTCTGACCTCACAAACCTCTGAAAGCTTTAAGATTTATTGATAAGTCAGAAATCGCATGATCTTTAGATCACCTCTAAGTTATTCAATAATTATGTAAGTATTTTTTGAGAAATTTAAAAAAATATGTCAAAAACTGAAAGTGTGTTAATTATTGTAGGGTAGTGTATCATGTTAGATAATGAAACAATAAATTGATCAAAAAATATTTTTATTTTTTAAGTTTTTGGGCACTTTTTCTTGTTTTTATGAGTATATCTAAAATAATTATTTCCTTTTGAGCTGTCTTGCTTTTATTCTGGTCAAATATTCATGTCTTGTAAATGTAAATATGCAATACTTGTTCAAATTTAATATGGTACTAGTTACTTTGGTTACAATCAGGAATGTAAAATGTTGAAATGTTTGCATGTTTGACATATAATGCTCATATGTGTACTTTGTTTAAAATGACATGCAGTCTTTTGGAGGTGCTTTATTTAAAAGAAATTTTTTTTGATTGTTTTGATATGTTTATAGAATCTCTGTTGCCATTTTCATGTTGGTGCTACGTATTCGTCTTCTGGAGTCTATGACATTCAAATTTGCATTTATAAATTAAAATTTGACTGTAACATGTATTTTTTACAGTCGCATCCATGCAAAAGTCAGTTGTGAGCAGTATTGCACTTGGAAAATTGTTCACAATAATTTCTTTAAAAAGTTACTTTTTAAATTGTATAGATTAATTAAATAAAAATGCATTTTTCAAACTACTTCAACAGTAAGCTATTGATTTAAATAATGTTGCAGTAATTGTTTTTCTCCATCAATACTGTTTACTTGCTCTATTGACTGTTTTACTCAACCATTTCTGCAGAAAGTTGTTGATTTAACTGATGTTGCCCATTGCAAACATTGTGTAGGCAACTTCTTATGAAAGTTGTTGATTTAATTGATTATTCAAATTGCAAACAGAGTTATACATCAGATTCTAAAGAGAGTAGTTGAAATAAATAATGATGCAAATTGTAAAACATGTTAGCTTTTGATGAAAGTTGTTGATTTAATTAATTATTCAAATTGCAAACGGAGTTATACATCAGATTCTAAAGAGAGTAGTTGATATAAATAATGATGCAAATTGTAAAACATGTTAGCTTCTGATGAAAGTTGTTGATTTAATTAATTATTCAAATTGCAAACGGAGTTATACATCAGATTCTAAAGAGTAGTTGATATAAATAATGATGCAAATTGTAAATTATGTTAGCTTCTGATGAAAGTTGTTGATTTAATTGATTATTCAAATTGCAAACTGAGTTATATAAGATATTGTGATGTAACTGATTTAAATGTTAGATCTGATTAATTATGCTGTTTAGAGACCTATATTTGGTGTAGATTTAAAGCTATGCTTTAAAATCTATAATTTGCTTGCAAACTTACCAATGAAATGGCTGCATGTCAGTTAAGTTTTTCTTATCAGTCAAAAAATACTTGACTGTAAATGTTATTGATAAATGAGTATCAGCTTCAAGTGCAATCAGTTCTGCGTAATGATATGTATGTAATAATGTGCAATTTAAGTAGTGTGTACATTGTACAAATATAAACTTTGTTTTTGCCTACATCTACATGTTTTGTACTCTTAAACTTAATATATAGCAATCCAAAACACCAGACTTTGAAGCCATTTTTAATGTACATTTTGAATAATTTATTTAAGTATTTGAGATAAATAATTTCCTTCATAACTGTATATTAATTGGACTTTAGATTCACAGATTTAATTAATACAATTTATTAGTAAATGCAATGGGTACAAAAATGTTTCAAATCAAAGTTATTCTTTTTTAAGGATTTAAAGATAAATATTTTTTATTAAATAAGAACCAAATGTAATTTTTTTGTTATTTTTTTAAATAAAATTGAGGAATGACATAACTACAAAAACTCTTCCATTAACTCAAATGTTCATATTATGAGAATTTTTTATCTGATAATCAATTTGTGATCTTTGTGAAGTTTATAGATTTAATTGAAGTCAAGCGTATTGTGCCTTTTAATTATGGAAGAGAAGTATAACTTTTATACAATATATTGAGAAATATTGTAAACGATATTGCTGCATAATTTTCAAAATCCAAAACCTACCAAAAAACTAACCAAGGTTTACCCATTTTTCGTAGTACCTTAGTGGATTTGAAGGAAATAAGTTCGATAAAAACTAAAAATGCGTTAAAATTAAATTTCGGAAATATAACCCAAATTTACAAATATGTTCTGAATTTGTCTTGGGTAACATCGCTATTGTGGTGTTTGCCAACAAAACGCCTAAATTGCAAGATGAGATTTTTCTATTAAGTTAGTTTGGAAACATTTAAAGGTCAAAGTTTGTTTTATGTAATTGAGCAATAAAACAGAGCAATAAAGCAGAATAAATCCAATGTAATGTTTTCTGAAGTTTGGAAAAATTTGGTATCAAAAAGTTAAAAAAAAGTTAATAGAATGCACATAAATCTTGAAAAGTACAGAAAATGCAATACATCTAAGTTGTTTTAAAAATATATATAAGTTAACGTCAAAGTGGCTTCTTAATGATATCTAAATAAAAGCTTTTAATGTTTCATACTCCATTTCAAACGCACCAATTCTCTAAATGAAGTTTATGAAAATAATAAAGAAGGATGATCCAATATCGTAACACTTTTCACCAGTTTTAAGTATCAAAAATGACGTCAGAAAAAATGTGTCTTTGACGCCTGTAATACCCAGTTATCAATATCGAAACCTGTCGGTAATCGAAATCATTGGCTAAAATACTTTACGCCAATTTTCGCCAACAGGGCAGAAAAATTGTAGCAGACGCATGGACGTAATACTTTACTTTGATATACTTTTTTCTGCTGAGACTTGCTACCTGCAAGAAGTAGACTGTAACAGTATTGCATCAAGCGTCATATTTTGCCAATGAAAGATGATTTTTGGAGTTTGGCGTATGGACTTACTGTGAAGTCCTTTCTGTATTTTCCGTCATTTTAACGTTTCTTGAACCTTATGTTGTACCTTGGAGAGCAACACCCTCTAGAACAAAGGTCTCCGCAAGGATCAATTTTGTAGTCCGATGTAACGAACATAAAGTGAGCTGTAGGGAAAAAAGATGTCCTAACTACAAAGCTGTGCAATGGGGATAAAATAAAAATGACACAACGTTCCGATTACTAAAGGATCGGATTTCTAGTTTATGGTAACCCATGCGAAGGCTTTCGGTTTTTTATGAGGTTTGGGTTTAGGGCAATAATTCGATTTGGTATAAAAAAATATAACTACGCAATAAGTTTTAAATTTGAGTTACTTTATGAGTTTTTATTTAAAGATGTTACGAGGGTTTGAAGTTTAAAAGAGGGAGATAATTTAAATATCAACTTTCACATTGTTTTCAAGCCATTTGAGTATTTTTATTTGCTCGAATATTTGAGGTAAATACAAATGCACTTTATTAGCTTCATATTTCCTCTAAGTGTTAGTGAGTGGCACATATTGAGCCTTTTAGATTGAACAATGAGCTTGACACCTTATTAAAATTAATTTATTTTGGTTAGAAATTAGATTTACTATTAAAACTTTTCCACATAATCAAACCTTATTATGCAGCTGTTTGTTTACAAAAGACTAAGTTTATATAAATGTGAAACACTATTTTTATTGTGATTTCTTAGGATTTTATCTCGGTCCATAAGTAAGAGATAAGCAATATGGTGATATTTGAGTGTTAATAGTGTATATATTTTTAGAAACAAGGATGAAAAATTATTTGTAGCAAATTAGGAAATTTTTGATCGCATACTTCCAAAGTTGGTGTCAAAATTGTCACTTGTGTTAAAATGATGAATATTTGTGATAGATTTCATGAAATTACAAGTGTTTAAAAATTTTGTTTTTTAGTAAACTATGAAATGTAAATTAGGAAGCGCAATTGTATTGTGAAATATCTTACTAATATAGCATGTTTAGACATGTCATTCAATTATTTGTATAACTATGAATTTAGTTTAATTCTCGTTTTTGTACTGGATTTTACTGCACTTCTTTGTAGATGAGAAACTTTTGAAATATTTCGGAAAAATAGACTTTCTATAATAAGTCTTTAAATATTTTAGATATGTTTCTGGCAACGATTCATATAATCCCAAATTTAATAATATTTATAAAGGAACATAATACAAGAAGAATCGGAAATTTTAGAAGGAATAATAATACACAATTTAAAAAATAAATAAATATTAGTATGAAAATATAAACGGGAATTTGGATAAATATATAATTTTGTTGAATATATTTCCTCACTCTTTATACAAAATATGAACCACAAGAATACTTAGTTTTCTATTTTTTATTAAATTTAAATAAAAACAATAATTTGTACAACCTATAGGTCAAAAATGTATCTCAATCGTTTTATACGATTCAAGGATAATTTAATTTCAAGGAATTTTCATTTAGACACTGCTATTTTCAGTAGCAGGGAGCTCCTTAAATGGGCTGTTATTGACTGATATAGCCCTCATTTTTTATTACAAAAAATATGTATTTAATTATGCCTACTTTTTTTAAAATTGCTATAATGTATATAAAGGAGTTATTGGAATTCATATTTGTCTTTTTTACGTTACTTTTTAAAATTCAGTTTTATGCATTTTATAGTTTTAATCTGTGTACAGAAAAGTTATAAATAGAAATATATGCATATCAAATTAATCAAATTTGAAAAGTTTTTTAAATTAAATCACTAAAATTTTGTGAATTCAGCAATTGAATATAATATATACTTATATGATTGTATATCAGAACTAATTTTTTAATCAATAAATCGCTGAAGAAAGTTGAAGCAGTTGATTTTATATTAAAAATTAAATGCATAGGAATATGGCTTATGACAGGGTTTTCATAAGTAAAAAATTTTTTTTTAGATAAATCACAAACTCAGGTATTTGCTTTGTATGTAAAATATGTTTCGAAATTTCATGTATCAATTATTCAGAAATTTTTGATTACGCAAATCTTGAATTGTCTTCCTCTTATTGGTAAAGTCTTGTAAAATTATAATTATAGGAATGCTCTTCTTCATCCCGTTTGTTTAAAAGGTTTTACATACGAGGATTATCCAGAAAGTAAATTTCCCACATCCCATAAAAGAAGAAAATATAAATACGTGGAAAGTTTTATTGCAATATTTCAGCAACTCAGCATAAAAACCAATGGAATCGCAACGATTATCATACCAAGGAATAACTTTCGTAGCTCAATATTCTAGAAGTTTGCAGCCTAGGAATGGAGGCAGTGTGTCATTAAAGCTGTGAATACGTCTTTGTATGCGGTATCAAGATTGGGATTATGAGGTGGCTGGACAACCACCTTGATTGAAGTGATATTTCTGCTGCAGATTGTACGTAGAACTAGTCACACGTGACAGAGCGTTGTAAGGGAACAGCACATCTGTTTTAGCACCTAGTTACACCTTTGCTACTTGTTCTTGCAACTGACGGATTTCCTGTCAGAACATAACTTTCGAACATACAAAAATATACCGTCAACCGTGTTACCCTGGTTCCATTCCCAGAAGACAGACTTCTGTTTGGCAACAAAAGCTTATGCCACAGTGGGACAAGTGTTTTGATTATTTAGTTGAGAACTAGCTGAACTATTGCTATATCATTTTCAATAAATCTTTCAAGGTAATTGCGCTTTTTTTATGAGTCAGGGGAAAATTATTTTTCGTATGACCCTCGTACTTCGAATATTGTGATAAAGTAACAATTTAAGAAACATGTTTTTGCACTAGCTTTAAATTGTGTATTAACTTTTTGTCGGTTGTGTGAAATGTCAAATTTAATCATTCTGTTAAAAAATTTCACTATCTTGGATATTATAAGAATTAAGATATTGTAGTCATTCCATTTGATAATTTGTAGATATTGTTATATATAAGTTATATTGTTGTTTGTATTATGAATTTTTATGTGTGCAACTATCTGTTGTTACTTCATTTCGATGTTATTCTAAGAAAACTCGACGTATTTGAATTTTGTGCTTCATGTTAATCTACTTTAAAATCGTAGAAAGTTGTTATTTTTTTATATTTGTAGTTTTATAATCGTTACCTGACAGAAAGACATCGATTCATAAAATACAAAACAGTCAAAGTTGGCAAATAAATTCATTTAAAGTATATATTTATTGTTGGTAATTTGTTAGGTTGATGTTTGATGGTATTGATACGGACTAGACTGCAGTCTTGTATTACTATGCTATAATTCTATGTTAAGAATTTAATCAATCAAAATTATATAAATGTATGTGTATATTCATGTAACTTGTGTATTTCATCAGTAAAACTTTAATTCAATTTGAAGAGGATTCGTTCCATAACATATGTTATAGATGTATAAATATGAAAGGTTGCCTTTAATAAATGTTTAATGTATATTCCTTGTTTAAATTTATTTTGTGAATAAATTATTCATGTTATCATAGGCGTAGCGGGAAATAAGTCCTCCACGATGGATGACACATTGTTTTTTCTATTAGTCTAAAACAGTTTTGTTTATTTTAAGTTAAAAAAATATACCCATGATTTTAATCTACAAATGCCTAATTTTAGAACCACGATGCCTCAGGGGATAGAGCGTTCGCCTTCCAATGAGGTGAACCGGGGTTCGATCCCGGCGATGGCTGATCGATACGAATTCCGCATCAGGGTTGCATCGACCACAATGCTAACGTGAAATATCCTCAGTGGTAGAGGGATCATGGGTTAGAATCCCTTTGCCTTCAGGCAAACCGTGGGAGGTTCTCGTGGTCTTTCTCTCCACGTAACGCAAATGCGGGTTAGTTCCATCAAAAAAGGGCAAATTTCTCCCAATACTTGATCCAGGAGTTCCCTTGTCTTCTGGATTGTGTTCAAAATTACAACGTTACGGAGTTGAACATTAGTAGTCGTAAACCAAAAAAATTGGGTCGGCTGTTCAACGATGGTTATAAAATAAAATAAAATATTTTTTTTAAGAAATTCACAATACTAAAGAGGAAAACTAAAAAAACTATCAAAATGTCTTAAAAATTGTGTTTTTCTGTATGTAACAAAAACTAAGTATTGATATTTGTATCAGAAATAATTTAAAAACTCTTTTTTGGAGACAGGATAAATTTTTCACGTTATTATTTGAAGTGTCTATCTATTGTGAAATAATGGTAGGTCTCGTTGGATATTTTTATATTTTCTCAAAATAAAAAAGCGGTCATTTTGATAATTTTTTCAGAAAAGGTTTTGAATTCCAGAAAGAATATGCATGGAATTTTTCTCAATTTATAAATTGATATGTGATATTCAAACTTTTAGGTAATTGTAAGGAAATTATTCTGATAAGAGTTATATGTATATCTTTCAATTTTTTAGATCCCTTTATTGAAAAATAAAGTAAGATCTACTCGAAATTGTTTTTATAATAATATAATTTATTAATAATTTTTATTATATAATTATGTTATTAAAAAGCAGTCATTTTGATATTTTTTTGGAAAAGGTTCTAAATTCAAGGAAATGATGAAAATGGAATTTTTCTCAATTTCTGAATGGATTTTTAATATTCTAATTTTTGGGCAAATATAAGAAAATTATTCCTATTGGAATTATGAGTATAACTTTTCAATTTTTGCAATAATTTTATAGAAAAATAAAGTAAAATCTACTTGAAAATATATTTATAATCGAAATATAGTACGTTAAACTATAGTGTTATGATTGCTTTGTCCAGAGCTCCCACAACGTAATAAAAATAATTACAACTTCAGTTTCTTATTAACTTTTATCTGGAAGTTTAAGAAAATCAAATTTATAATGTATATTTGCAATTTGATTGAGTAAGTCTTAGATATTAAGACGTCATTAAAGATAATATTTTTTTGTAATCGTACTTCTCTGTCACTTCTTAAGTTATTATACGCTTTTTGTGCAATCGAATCTTCTCCAAGTGCATTGCAAAATTTCAAAAATTATTGAATTATCTTATGAAATATTTTGAGCACAAAAAATTTTATACATTCAAAAATATGTAAAACTTCATATGCAGCCTTTGAAATTAATTAGTAAGTAAAGAATACTTCGTTTATAATTAAGTGAGTTGAAAACTCTGGCAAAAACTTATTTAAGAATATTTAGGCATTGCTATTGTATTAAGGTTTCCCTAGAGAGTTATGCTTCATACTAAACTGAACTTTGAATTCAAAACATACTGATAATTCCATATGCAATATGAAGAAGAAACAATTGCATCAATACTAAAAGACGCTTGCCAAATTAGTGCCTATAGGGCAATGAAAAGCATTTTAATTAGGGATGTACCGTGTTCCGGCTATATTTTCATAGTCTGGTCATTACCAGTATCTGGCAGCAATTTTCCAATCCAGTGACGTTTAATGACGATCCCTCTTGTTTGGCACTTTCTTAAATTAAAAAAAAAACTTGATTCTTGGCCTTTTTTCAGTTCAGGTAACAAATTTTGAAAGAAATAAAAGCTTGTATTATAACTTCGACCAACTGAAACCAAGAGAAAAATCTCAACAAAAAAAAGTTATTAAAAGCCCCTGGATTGTAAATTAGCTACCCGACAAATGAATTTCACTCCCTGGTACTGGTTAATTTTACCGGGCATAAAGTGCCGGATAACAACCATTTGCGTTCGACACAACCATATTCGGAATTATAGTAACCTTAAAACTATTCATTAAAATAATTTCAGTTTTAGTAATCTATTTGTTTCATAAATTTTTTTAATAATCAAGAGGAATTAGCTGGTTTAAGCACGGCATATTTTACTCTTGTGCAGAATTTTAATTCGGGAAAATCTTGGAAAAATGGATACTTTTGGGACATAGAAATGTGTTTGTTAGCCCGTTAGTGGTTTAGCAAATGTGCAAAGTTGGGAGAATGTTTCTCCCCAATACATTATTTACCTATATGATAACATTAAAAAACCGATTTAGATATGTGGAGAAGACTGCAGGTTTAAATACGACTTTTTAAGTGCAGAACCGTCAGTGGGTTAAAGAAAGGTTAAGATATGAACATACAAATTCCGAAATTTAATGCTGTAAATTTATTTAACAACCAACGGGATATGATAGTTTTGTAATTGCAAAATTAGATATAGGGAATTACATTGGTATTTATTCAAGGTTAATAAAATGTTAGTGAATGAAATTAAAAGATAACCATAGAAAAATACGTTGCACGTCTCTTGATTAAAAACTATACAAATTGGAATAACAGTTTATATGTTTCAAGCGCTCAAAAACAGACGCGTTTTTTTAAGGCTTGCCAGACGTTAATGAGAAGAAAGAAAAGTGATTTGAAATATAAAACTTAAAGTTGCCTATGAAAAATGGAAAGAGAAAAGTGAGAAACAAGATTCCAGGGCACCAAGATCAGCTGATGTGACTGGGATGGAAATAATTTTGGCTTTCGCAAAATTGAATTTTATGAAATCTTTCGAAATTGAAATTTTGATGACATGGAATCTTGTTTTATTCATATGAATGCTGATTTAGTTGTTAAAAACATAAGTTCCTCACAATTCTAATTTATCTCATTTTTATTTTTCCATTATTTTTCTTCGGTCCGCAGTGGACTGATCATTAAGACACGGTTCCCAGCAGATCACCGAAGTCAAGCATCACTGGCTGTGGTCAGTGTGCGAGTTGGTGACCACTTGGATCAGTCTGCGTAGGGACCGAGCGTGTGCTGTATTGGTCTTCGTTAAACTGTTCTACCGTAAAGTGCTCGACTTCTAGTGCAGGTCGTCGGGAATCTAAAGCAGGGAAGTCATCCATTCTGCAGAGGATCAAAANGGATCGAACCCACGACTTCTTGGACATGGGCCCAGTGCCCTACCGACCTGGCTATCCCGGGCCGCTGATTTAGTTGTTAATAACATAAGTTCCTCACAATTTCTCTATAGTGAGGGGAAATGTGGCTCTACTTGTTCTGTTTTTCTTCTTTTTTTCTCTCTCGGTTACGGTGGTTTTTCTAGTTTATCTCACCTTTATTTTTCCGTTTTTCTTCGGCAACTATACGTTTTATATTTCAAATCACTTTTGTTTCTTCTGAATTACGCCTGTCAAGTCTTGAAAATCGGTGCCTGTTTTGAGCGCTTGAATTATGTGGAATGTTATTTCCAATTTGTATATTTTCGCAGTGAATGTAGTTTTTGATCAAGTTATATTTTACCTCTTAAGTTGTTTGGAATTTGTTACTTAAAGTTTTATGTTTATTATTTATGCATTAAACTATACTTGCTGATCAACTAAATTTGATTTTATAAAATGTGTAACTGCAATATGTTTTTATAATTTAGGTTTATAGGCTTAGAATTTTATCGTAAAGGTTATTATTTAACGTTTTTTGCTTATTATTACCGCATTCAACTAAACTTACTCATCAACTAAATTTGATTTTAGAAAATGTGTAAATGCAATATGCTTTTATAATTTAGGTTTGTAGGCTTAGAATTTTATCGCAAAGGTTATTATTTAACGTTTTATGTTTATTATTACTGCATTCGACTAAACTTGCTCATCAACTAAATTTGATTTTAGAAAATGTGTAAATGCAATATGCTTTTATAATTTAGGTTCGTAGGCTTAGAATTTTATCGTAAAGGTTATTATTTAACGTTTTATGTTTATTATTACTGCATTCAAATGAACTTGCTCATCAACTAAATCTAATTTTAGAAAATGTGTAAATGCAATATGCTTTTATAATTAAAGTTTGTAGGCTTAGAATTTTATAGTAAAGGTTATTATTTAACGTTTTTTGTTTATTATTACTGCATTCGACTAAACTTGTTCATAAACTAAATTTGATTTTAGAAAACGTGTAAATGCAATTTGATTTTTTTAATTTAGTTTTGTAGGCTTAGAATTTTATCGTAAAGGTTATTATTTAACGTTTCATGTTTATTATTACTGCATTCAACTGAACTTGCTCATCAACTAAATTTGATTTCAGAAAATGTGTAAATGCAATATGCTTTTATAATTAAAGTTTGTAGGCTTAGAATTTTATCGTAAAGGTTATTATTTAACGTTTTATGTTTACTATTACTACATTCAACTAAACTTGCTCATCAACTAAATCTGATTTTAGAAAATGTGCAAATGCAATATGTTTTTATAATTTGGGTTTGTCGGTTTAGAATTTTATAGTAAAGGTTGCATCTTTATTTTTAACTTCACATTTGATAAAGGCTATAAATAATTACTTTAAGGGCGGAGAATACGAAACAACCAGTCTTGAATTGAAAAATATTGTGTATCGTAAGCAACAAAAAATATTACAAAGTATTTTACAAAAATGATTTTTATTTTTTTTTTATTTTCACAAAAGTCATTAAAATGCTTCAAACCACGCTTATTGACAATAGGCG